CTCGATAGTAAAATAATTTGACGTCTACGGAAAATCAAACATAAACTGCTACCGGCTTATACAAAAATCAAGTACCCGAGGTGTGAACAGCACAATTGATGGGAACAAAAGAACTAAAAAACTGCACTTTCAAGCAAGATTCAGCAGTCATTATATCGAAAATTGATTTTTTTTTCAGAAAATCAGCTTTTATTTGTAAACAAATTCAAAATGCAAATTCAAACATAAACAGCAGCAGTTTAACTTACAAGACTATGAATTGTAAGTTTAAGGAATATTTTCTATCGATTTTTCGTGAAGATCCTTCTATGGCAATCTATGGAAAAACAACATGGAAACAATTTAAATTTATTTGATGTTAAAATTCTAACCATTATTTTATTATATAGCAAATAAATATGTAAAAAAAAAGTTGTGCGATTTACACCTGCTTAATATTCTTAATAATCATTTTGCAATTATAGTGTTCATTTTTTACGATCTGAAATGAGTCAAATTTGCATCATCAACACCAAACTGAGCAGTGAATTGTGAATTAACTGCTCGAAGATTTGTTGACCAAAAAGGATATTAAATTTTTTATTTACAATAAAATGATCAAAGATCATGTATGAAATTCAAAAAGAACGTGTTAGAAATTTTTAACCAATCACATTCTTACATCTGTTATTACGTAATCATTATTTCATCGATTATGACAATTTCCATACTTTTTTGTTACTTGAGTCATAATTTTTCGATTTGATGTTTTATCCAAACTGACATGTCAGTTTATTTTTTCAAAAATTGCAATTTTTAGTCATGTTTAAACATGTACTATAATTTTAATGTCAATGTGACATTAAAATTATAGTACATGTTTAAACATGACTAAAAATTGCAATTTTTGAAAAAATAAACTGACATGTCAGATTGGATAAAACATCAAATCGAAAAATTATGACTCAAGTAACAAAAAAGTATGGAAATTGTCATAATCGATGAAATAATGATTACGTAATAACAGATGTAAGAATGTGATTGGTTAAAAATTTCTAACATGTTCTTTTTGAATTTCATACATGATCTTTGATCATTTTATTGTAAATATAAAATTTTATATCCTGACGATGCACAAAATGTGCGAAAACGTTTGAATTAACAATTTTGAAAAATTCTTATTCTGCTTTTTGTTAAATTTAGAAAAAAAAAATAACTCGGCGAAGAGTGAATGATAGATTAAAAAGTTTGTTGTAAAAATACAAACAAAAAATTTTTAGATCATTTTTATTTTTCTCAGAATAGTCTTAATTTTTATTTTTTCTTTTCTCATTTTAACAATGAGTTTTCTTACATTTGAGTAAAAATGGCATGGGTTGTAGCTGCAAGCTCTCTATTTCATAGCTTGAATACCTTACGACCAGCAGAGAAATCGGAACTGGACGAACTGGTATACGCTGAATCGGGATTATCGCTGAATCCTCATACCGTGAGGAAGAGACAAAATTTACAGACTCTTCTGGAAGAGCATCCTCTGGTGGACAAGGAGATAATTCTTTGGCAAGACGTATTGAATAACAGTTTGTCGAAACACCGAACCAATGCCAACACGCTTTATCCTCTGGACGATTTAATTTCGTATTTGCAATCAAAGCGACATCGGTTTAAGGCGATTATATATTGCAGAAGAACCAGAACGACAGATATCTTTGATTCTCTGATGCGTACAGGGATCTTGATAGTCCCAACAACGAAATTGATCTCGAGAGGCAAGAGGCAGGATCCCGCTTTGGTGAGACAATACCTGGAAGTTCATCAATCGAGCGAACTTGAGTTGAAGTCATTGCGAGTTGTGCTGACACATAGAGAAAACTTGCCCGGGATATTCTCAAAGATAAGAGCGCGGACTCAGAAACCATCACAAGGACGACGCAAGGCGAAGGCACGCAGAGAGGAAACAACGACTGACGCCTCTCTACCACCGGCTGAAAGGGCGCGGATTGGGTAAGTGAATCTACTGTGTGAATTATCCTGCTGAGAGCCGCATGAGTTTAAGTGCTCGTGGCCTGCAGGATAATGACCGCCGTAGTTTTGCCCCCACCGATGCTGAGATGGATACTCAGGAAAAAACGAACTTGGAAATTAGTTTTGAATTACCTGAAGTATTCAAATAAATTAAACAACAATTTCCATCGATTGAAGTTTTTACGGAAATGTCAAAGCAATGACATAATACCAGATTTTTTGAGATTTCGGGTGCCAGAAAATGGGGTTTTTTCGGACCAAGCGGTGCATAGCTTTCAATTAAAACTCCTAAGAACAGAGATAAATCAGGCAAGGTCAGAAGAGAAGAAGATAGACGATGATCTAGCTAAGGCAAGAGAGGTAGTGCGGAGAGGGATAGATGAACAATGGTGGCCCTCAATAGCATTTTATCTAAAGCTCCAGGCTAGAATTGCTATCCATGACATCAAGGATAGACATGAAAAGAAGTTAAAAAAGCTAGCAGAGCGGCAGGACAGACCGTTAATGAAAGTGAATGACAAATCGGTCAGAGCACTAGATGGCATTGAGCTACCCAAGTGGGTTCATGAAGTGTTAGGTTTTGGCCCAAAGCGCCCGGTGAGGAATCGTTTCAATGAACTTCACTTTCTTGCGGACATTGATAATTTTTTATCTGAGCTTAAATCGCAAAAGGTACCAGGTGAAAAATTATGTGAAATTGAAGCTGCTGCAAAATCATACGCTAAACGTGTGCGGCAAACACCGTCGGATAGAGGGATTGAGAAAGCCAGGAAGTATTTGAAGGACAATGGTCTCTTGGCAGTCCCATTCGATAAAGGTGTTGGCTTCTGTGTAATGAAGAAAACGACATATGAGGCTAAACTAACTGAGCTGCTGCAATCGGAACAATTTAGCGAAAAACCAGGTTTAACTGATAGTGTTGTTATGAAAATTGAGAAAGACATCAACAAAGAACTGTTGGCCATGAAAAAGAAAGATGAGATCGATGAGGCACTGTATAGTAGGCTTAGGTCCACGGGAGGGCAGCCAGCTCGATTATATGGATTGGCTAAAGTACATAAGAAAGGAACCCCTCTCCGTCCCGTACTGTCACTGCCAGGGAGCTCATATGAACATCTAAATAAAACTTTGGCCAAATTTTTTGACAACATTGAGGGGGCAAACATTGAGACAAACACACAAATGGCTCGGGAGATCATAGAGAACATAGATCTAGACTATAATGAGAGTATTATCTCCCTGGATGTCAAAAGTTTGTACACTAATGTCCCACTAAAGGAGGCAATAGATATAGCACTGAGGAAACTGTACGAACAAACTAGTCCTCCTAAACTGGCACGCGGAACTATGAAGAAATTGTTGAACATGGCTGTAAGTAAGGTGCACTTCAAATGCAATGGTTTATGGTACGTACAAAAGGATGGGTTGGCAATGGGTGCATCCCTTGCTGTCATTCTTGCCATTTATGGCTAAAGGAGTACGAATATGCATTAATGAAGGAAGTACCTGCGTTGACACAGCTAAATGAAAACCGGAATGGCCTATGCCCTGATTGCGAGCGGAGGGTAACATACAGAAGTAACGGGATCGAATGCGAAGCTTGTTTAAATTGGTACCATTTAAAGTGTAGTAATGTATCCGACAAAGAATATGAGCAAATCTCAGAAATGGTTTGGTATTGTAAGAGATGTAAAGAGCAGCGAGAGCAAGAAAAACCAACAGAAAATGTCAAAGCGTTCCTAAGATATGTAGATGATATAGTGAGGACGGTAAAGGGGGATCCAGATATAGTGTTAAAAGCAGCTAATGAGCTCCACCCCAACTTACAATTCACTATCGAAAATCCGGATTCGAACGGAGACTTAGCCTTTCTAGATTTGGACATTAATGTGGACTCACGAAAAAAGGTAACATGTGGATGGTATCAAAAACCAACGGATACTGGGACTATCCTTAACTTCAGAAGCTGCGCTCCATTGCAATATAAACGCAATATAGTTGAGGGTACTGTTCATCGGATTTTTAGAAGTACATCAACATGGGAAAACTTTGACAAGGCAATGAAGATTAATAAAGAACAATGGGTGGATAATCCATACCCTGAAAAATGGTCAGATGGTGTCGTATTAAGAACGTTGAATAAGATCATCGACCGAAAAACTGACACACGAACAACGGTAACATCAGTCAAGGAAGATCCTTTAAAGGTCAGTGCACCCATTATAACATTACAATACCGGGGTAATGCATCGGAGTGGTTTGCTGCCAAACTGCGTCAAAACGCCGGAGCCCAAGTGATATTTACTACGAGAAAGCTCAAGACTTGCCTACCGTCCCTTAAATCTCCCTTTGCGAAAGATTTGAAATCCAGAGTGGTCTACAAGCTCACATGTAGTGGATGTAATTCCACCTATGTTGGACAAACGGTCCGGCATTTGACCACGCGGATTGAAGAGCATCACAAGGAAGATTCGCCAGTAGGGCAACATTTGAGAGAATGTGACGGAAGGTAAGAGCGCTGAGCTTAAGTCTGAGATTATAGATCAATCAAGTAACATACAGAAACTCCTCACTCTGGAGGCCTTACATATTTGGAAAGAACGCCCCAGAATTAACACGCGCGAGGAGTTCAGGAGCAGGGAGCTGACATTAAAATTATAGTACATGTTTAAACATGACTAAAAAATTGCAATTTTTGAAAAAATAAACTGACATGTCAGTTTGGATAAAACATCAAATCGAAAAATTATGACTCAAGTAACAAAAAAGAATGGAAATTGTCATAATCGATGAAATAATGATTACGTAATAACAGATGTAAGAATGTGATTGGTTGAAAATTTCTATTATGTTCTTTTTGAATTTCATACATGATCTTTGATCGTTTTATTGTAAATAAAAAATTTTATATCCTGACGATGCACAAAATGTGCGAAAAAGGATATTGCCAATAAGTCCAAAAGTACAATTTAAAGGTTGGATTCCGTTTCAGTTAAAAAATGACTAAACCCGATGAAGTGCAAGAAACACCGATATCGGTGAGTACAAATTAATGCACGGAGTTTACAATAACCATTTCAAAAGTGTTGTGAAGCAGAATTTGAGTGAATTAGCAAGCGTTATCATTATCATATTTTATGTCAAAACAAGCCAGTAAAGAATGAATATGAATTTGACACCCTAGGGCAAGGAAGCTCCCCAGGTAGAGTCTTTTCTCGGAATGGGGACAGACGAGCCCGACTTTTACATAGACGTGCAGACGCATACCAAATATCATGAGTGTTACTGCTGCCACGTTCCGGAGCTAGCCCACAACGTGATCAAGTTCGTCCTGTTTTTGTTTAACGTCCTCTTTTGGGTGATCTCATTCGTGTTGGTAGTGATCGGAATCTGGGCTTTGACTGTTAACGCCGACTACGGCAATGCGCTCAGTGGAGTAATGACTCCCTCTGTGATGCTCATCGCATTGGGAGTTATAATCTTTCTCGTCTCCTTTTCCGGATGTGTGGGCGCTCTCAGAGAAAATACCTACCTACTCAAAGCTGTATGTATGGTTTTACGCATATTAGACCTTAAAATATTGCTTCATCTGGTATAACGTTTTTTTTTATTCAGTTTATCGCAATCATGGGCTGTGGAATTATTCTTCAGCTGATTTTTGTGATTGTAGTGTTCACGTTGAATGGAAGGGTATGATATTTGATTCAAAATTTTCAAAGATTTGAATTTTTGATTTAATCAGTTTTCAATTTTCAGATGCGAACATCTCTGGACAACTTCTTTCAAAAGTCTACCAAGAATTATAACGATGACGTGGATATCAAAAACATTCTCGATTATATTCAACATGAAGTAAGTTTTTGTCAAGCTTGAACAGTTATAAACCACGCAACTTCAATTAAATCCTTACTTAAACTAATTTTTGGTATATCTTTTCTTTCTGTTGAGCGCGTAATAAGAGTTTCATGCCCGGAATAGAAGTTGTCTCACCCCAGTTTTTACGCTGGACCGGTTTTCGATTAACAATTACACAATCGAGTGTAGTGTTGTATTACGAATCCCATTTTGCTAACCCAACTCGCAAATAAAATTGTTTATTTGGTGGCGCTTTCTTGCTGCATTGCGTTGACGATTTTTTAGTATCTGTTCTATTTGCTTTTTTGGTGTCTAGTATTTGCATAATTTCAAGGGACTATAGCACAGGTGCGAGCACGTGAGACTTGTAATCTCCAGGTCGCTGATACGACTACGGTCCTTATTTAGCCTTCTTAAGAGTCGATGAATATAGTTCAGACTCTTATATAGGTCGTGATGTTTTTTTTCGATTTTTTTGTTCAGGCTCGAAAATGGATTTTAATTATCAGATTTCTTAGCGAAATAGAAAATTTACCTATTGATCCAGTTTTCTCAAATTGGGCAATTTTTTTCAAGGAAAGTGCCAATCATAAATTGTCCTTGAACTTCAAAGGGCTTTGAGGGCGTCTATTTTTTTCTTCCAAATTCGAAAGTTCCAAATTTATTTTTCTGCTTCCTTGCATTCATTGATTTTTTTCAACTTTCTGTTGGCTATGTTCTTGCTCGTGTTTGCACGCGTAATTTCGCCTCTGTATAAATGTAAGAAAAAGGATGCTTTAGGTCCTGTATTTTAAATGATCAATTAATTGCCGCTATCGGCAAATTTAAAAAACCCCAGTTTGACCTGTTTTGAAATTGCAGCTGCAGTGCTGTGGAGGAGAAGGACCCAATGACTGGGAGCTGAACATGTACTACTCCTGTGACAGCATAGCAGTGTCCAAGTGCGGAGTGCCTTTCTCATGCTGCAGGGTGAGTCACTCACTTTTCTTAGAAAAATTTGAGTTCTTGCCGCAGCTTCAATTTTATTTGGCAAAATTACTGTGACCATTGATTCAAAACATGATAATTTGTAAGTGAAAGAACAAAAAGCATAAATCCGAATTTGATCTTGGTCAATTTTCGATTTCAATAGTTTGCTGCTTAAATATTGTGAACGCCACTATGATTGTCAGTCGGGCCATCTAGTCTTGTGCAGTTTATTACGTTTTTGCCTTCCCAATTCTGGTGCTCCTTTGTTCCTTTGCTGTTAGTGCATTCCCCCTCTCTTTTCAATCCTCAATCGTTCATCCCACATTTGTTGTTTGTTTTGTATTCGGTGTTCGTTGTTTTGTTTTGTATTCGGTGTTTGTTGTGTATTCGATGCGTAAAGTGTTCTGTACTCAGGCCGCTGTGATTTTTCATTCTCAGTGAAAATTTAAGGTCATCACTTTTAAAAAGTATTTAAGCAATGATGGGAAAAAATTATAACAAGTCAAGTTTAAAAACGGTGAAAAAATCAGTGTTTAAGACGAAGTGAGTTTTCACTGATTTAGGACTTAAGGTTTTTTTATAGGTTTTTGGCTAAAAGACGTGTCTTTACTTAGCCAGCTCAGTCGCATTTTAAAAATATCGGACTCCTGGACTCTTTCACCTCTTTATACTCGTTGCAAATCCTGCTCCTCTGGGTTGCAAATATTAAGCTTGTTTTGCGTTTGTTAGTATTTTACATATCCGCTCTTTTCGAAATTTGCTTTTTGAGGTTGGTCTTAATTTTTTTTCGAAATCGGCCTATTTTATTATGGCTTTGTGGCCTCATATGGCACCACTTGATGAGCGAAACGTTTTCTGTTTGTGTGTGTCTGTGTTTTGAGGGCGAGGGATCCTTGAACTTTTTAAAATTTAATTTCATAGTTTTTTTCTCGGCTTGAAGGGTTGGTGCTCAGATGTTTTCGGGTGGGTTACTGCTTGGTCAAATTTCCTCCTGATGTTAATTTTGATTTTGTATTCCATTCTTTTGGTTTATTTTTTCTCAAACCATACATTTTCCAGTTACATGTGTAATTATAGATCCAGTTGCATGTATAGTTATAGATTTTCGGTATTATTATTTTTTGGCTGATGGTTTTTTTGTAAATATCAGAAATGTGTATACGACGTCTCTTTCAGTATATATATTTTATTTATATATATAGGGGGCGGATTTAGGATTTTTTTGAGGGGGGGGGGGGGGGTGGATTTTCATAAAATTTTCGACTTTTTTAGGTCGGCCAAATTGGTTTTTCGAGCTCTCCTAAAGCACTAAAAGCCAAATTTTCTGCGACGCAGGCAAATTTTTGAAAAAAAAACAGGTCAAAAAAGCCGTTTTTGGGCACTTTTTGGAAAATGTTGACAAAAAAATTGCGTTTTTTTGGCGCGCGCTCCCCTCTTAGTATATATTGGCGCCCTTAGAAAAATTTTAGGGTCGGTCGGCCAAAAGTGGACTTCTTAAAAAGTACCAAAGGAGGGAACCTTTGGGTCGGCAGGGGGTCGAATCCCTGAAGGGAAGAGGCGTCCAAACCCCCCCCCCCCCCTAAATCTGCCCTGATGGCACTCGTGGATGCTATATGGACCGTACATGTTTCTGTATCAGTATTTATTGCCGAAATATTTTGGTTGATATTGAGCTTATTGGTTGCTGGTTTTAATTCCGTCGGCTTATTTACCAAGTATTTTGTTATCTAAAATTTTCCGATGTTGTTTATGAAATCGATAAGACCTTTTTTCGATTTTTTTTTTCGTTAAGATTTTTTTCAAGTGTAATAGCGTTCGAATTTCTCTTTGCTAGTTCTTGAGTGTCATGCTGTTTCAATCATGAATATTTGGTCTGTGTAGAAGGGTTCATTAATTCGACTTCATGCATATTTTTTTCAAAGGAACCAATAGCAACCTTTAACAACTCAGATTTATTGCAATTTTCAGTTTGATTTTTGCTCAACTTGCATCAGCACAATTGAAATTAAAAGAGCTCAAGCTCAGGGGCGGATCTAGGATTTTCTCGAAAGAGGGGGGGGGCCGGATTTTCAAAAAATTTCGTCGACCAAATTGATTTTACGAGCTCCCAAAGCACTGTTTTGCTCCTTTTTGGCCAAATTTTCTGCGCCGCCGTCAAAATTTTGAAAAAAAAACAGGCCAAAAAAGGCTTTTTTTGGAAAATGTTGACCAAAAAATCGCGTTTTTTTGGCGCGCGATCCCCCCTCAAAATTAGTATATATTGGCGCCTTAAGAAATTTTTTAGGGTCTATCACCAAAACTGGATATCTCAAAATAGTACAAAGGGGGACCCTTTGGGTCGGCAGGGGGTCGAATTCTTGAGGGGGGATCCGCCCCTGCTGAAGCTTATGTGTTTTTTCTTTGAAACTCAAATATATGTTTTTAACGTGAATCTTTTTTGTTATTCCGTTCTGACGCTCAAAACCGGAGATTGATTGTTGAAGATTGAACTAATGCTGACTTAATCTGATGAGCTCATTAAGATATGGCTATATTGCAAGCGCTCACCTTCCAAATTGCAGCGCAGTATTTCTCGAGGAAGAAGAGTGGATAGATTGTTGAAAGAAGCACTGCGTAGGGTAGATGGCGCTAGAGATTTGAATAGCTTGATAAGAATTTAGATTGAATTTCTTGCGTTGAACTAATAAGTTCGATTATTATTTACACAACGCACATCAATTCAAAAAATCCGATCTCGGAAGAACTCCAAATGGGCAAGTTAGATGTCTATCGAGAAGTGTCTTCATGATCAAACAACAAAGACTACAGTTGAAGTTCTGACTTCCAAAAGTTTTCATCAAATTTATCACAAATGTATAGATCGATCCCGTATGCGATGTAGAATTGAATTTCAATGATTTCTACCCAATCCATAAATCCTTGATGATTTTTTGTCTAATGCATAGAAATGATTAATTATGAAATCTAATCGCAGTTTTAGGCTGCTTTCTGCGCTTTTCCTCTCGGCGCGGATATTCGAACAGTTTTCCTTGTTTATTGACACCTTTACAATCTGCTGTGGCTGTGTTTATTGTTCCGATTTTTGATACGAAAATAAAGGAATATTTGTGCTTGGGGTGGGTTTTTTTTCTTCAGACAAATTTCGACTTTTGACGGAATTTTTTTAATATCATTCAAAAGGTATTGTTGTCCTGAGCTCAAATTTGAATTTTTTTTTACCTGTGATCTTTTTTCGTAAAGTTATGGGTGTTTAAAAATTGCCATTTTGGCCAATTTGAGACAATTAACGCGCGATATATTTCGCGCTATTAACGCATAGGCGGAGATTTAATCCGTCTTAGAAATGGTTCCAAATTGATTGAAAGAAGCTTATTTGCCTTAATTGATGTTACTAGAAGCGAAATTTATTGTTTTGTACTTTATATGGCGTGTGGGGAGATGGTTTTTATTTAAAAAAAAATAAATTTTAGAAAAAAAATTTTTCATTTTGTTTTATTTTATTTAATTTCTTAAATGTTATTACTGCTCCATAAACATTAAAAGGCAGTCGGAACATTCAGGGCTTCGCCCTGATACGAGCAGTCTTGTTGTGATTACTGTCAGATTGATCTAAGGAGCTGGTTACTTTCCTTCAGTGATGACCAGATTAGCATTCTATTATAGTCTGTAATAGCGTGGCTATCATAATGCGCTATATTGACACGTCTGTTCTATTAATAGAGTTAGTATAATAGAACGCTATTAATCACAGCTATTGCCGAGCGCTGATCAAAGTAGCTAATATTTCATTGGCTGACGACTTGAAATCTCATCTTTTAGCTTACACTGTGTAAGTTACACATAAAATAACATTCGTTGCATATCCTTTTATCTACAATAACTACCTAATTTTGCTCGTTTTTGCTTCAGTGTTTGAAATGACACCAACTAAATCGGCAAAACGGATAAAATTGGACACAGCATTTGAGTTTATGGCATCTGAAAAGTGTTACAAGTTCACAAATTGCAACAAAAGTTTGGAAGGAGTCAAAAGTAGTAATTTTCTTACTGGAGCTGAACGACATATTCAAATGTGTAGCCCTGCTTTCTTCAACGAATCAAATCAATTACTTATAACCAGCATGGGAACGCTGACAAATAACGTTAACGCTTCGCGATTGGAAATGGTCAGAAAGTTTTCCAAGACAACTATACCAATAAATATTTTCAGATCCAAACCAAACGGTTTCTTCAAGCTGTTCAGAAATTGTCATCTGCACCCGATTATAAAACCCTAGAGTCAGAAATGAAGAAAATGGAAACGTATTGTTTGAGCGTCCTGAAAGGAGCCTATCATTATGGGGTACAATTGGATCATTGGAAAGACAACAAAGGTAACAATATTCTTGTTATTTTGGTGTCTTTCCTTACGGAAAACTATCAATCCGTTGTTCAAGTTATGGATTTTAAGAAAGTGGAATCTGGTAGAGCCATAACAACTTCCCTCGAATTGGAAAAGACATTGAGGGACAACAATTTGGACCCGTAAAATTGTCTGGCGTATCAATCAGATAACTGCAATGCCATGATAGCAGCTTGCAGGGAGTTTAGACAATCGATTTGGCCTGAATATCCTCCGGAAGTCGACGAAGAAAATTCTTACTTTGTGGTGGAAGGACATGATATCCAAGAGGAAAACATTGAACTGGAAAATATCAGCTTCGTTGGATGTGGAGCGCATCGGATGAACCTTGTTATTTTTGAAGCAACATGACATAGCAAGTTTTTCCAGTAGGCAGATACTTTCTGTCGGTCAAATAGTGGTCCAACGCTTTCGGAAACTCGATGGTATGGACACTTTCGTCAAATAGAATTTCTTCATCGCAATCAAGACCTTGTGACGACACATAGATTAGAGCGGCCAAGCACCTACTCAGAACTTGATAGCCTGGCTATCAAAAGTATGCATTACGTGCTGTTGAAATTGACTGTACTCGGCAAATTTTTCGAAACCTCCAACCCTGAAACTGATCAAGTATTGCCCACTGTCAGAAAAGTCGAAACTGCTCTTGACCGTGTTTCTAGACTGGATGTTATCCATCAAACTGCGCGCAATTTTTGTGTAGTTGTGCTCAGTTTCATGGACCGGAATTCTAGGTTCAGAAATTTTTCTGATATCATTTATGCAGCTACCCTTCTCAATCCAAATCGAAGTGACAGAAACAAACTGTCAAGCACGGAGTATGAAAAAGGAAACAGTTATCTACTTTCACTGGCCGATACTATAGCTGGCTCGGAAATTTCTGTTGTGTCTCCCGAGATGAACGATCTCGATGCAGTGTTTTCAGACAAACTTACAGTTACACAGCATTTTGGTATCGATTCCTTCAAAACAGAGCTGACTGCTTATCTCACTCAAACTGATGAAAGATGTACAGATTTTGAATTTTTCCGCCAGCCGAGTACTCAGTGGCCTTTTTTGAGGAAGTTTTCCGGAAGCCTACTGAGCATACTTCCCTCTCCGGCTGTAGCTGAAAGATTCTTTTCGAGGGCGGGCTATTTATCCATTGACAGAAGAAACAAGATTTTGCCCGAAAATCTTTAAACTCGTTTGATAATAACATCGTATTGAAATAAAGTTTCAGCACTGAAAAAGAGTTCTTTTTTCATATCCAATTTTTTAGGAAATCTATTATAGAATACTATAATCAAAGTATTATAGAATTTTGAGGATTATATTCTGTAATCGACGTTAATAGGGTCATCACTGCTTATCTTCTTTAATAGAATTGGATTCGAAGATTAATCGGTCGCTAGAAGTAACACTTGCAATTAAATTTAGTCGTGTTCAAATTGCTATGGTTAATAGGTACTCGTTTAAAAGTATTGTACCGCCGTTTTGACGAGTCCATTCAAAGGCTCATTTAGAAGTGTAGTCCGGCCAGACCACTTGAACTATACTTGAAGTACTTGTTAGATTTGCCACTAATTTTTCTTCAGAATGGAATTATCAAAATTCACTGGCAAACCTAGTAACTAACTTTAAAAATTTGCGTCTTATGTCTGGCTTTTATATGGGAGCAGTGGACGTTTTACGGGACCATGCTTCTAAACGAGGTTTTGAACGGGGCCATACTTCTAAAGGAGTACCGATTAATATTTTATTTCCGCGTTGTTTAGGGTTTCGGTGAAGTGCACAACAACACGCAGTGTGGCTTCGGCGTGAGGGCGGGAAGTGAGGAAGACACAATCAACACAGCACTATCAGATCGCATTTTCACTGGGGGGTGTACCAACAGGATCATAGTCTACATCAATGAGAATCTATCCACCGTAGCCATAGTGCTGCTCCTCTTCTTCCTCCCACAGGTAAGAACAGAAAAATATATATTTTGTTTCCAGTTCCCCATTTGGTTTTCTTTGAAATTAGATTTACGGCTGCTTATTTGAAATGACGCTAGATGTTCTGAACTGCAATAAATATTTGAGCGAGCACCAGTTTACATTTTAGAGCAAATGGCTCTTTTTCAGTTTCGTTTCGTCAGCTCATATCAAAAAATGGTCGCTTCAACTCTAGTAATTCTTTGCCCTTGCGATAAGCAAGGATATTGCAATCGGGTACTAGACTTTTTTCCGTGAACAACTTTATCCACGGGATGGTCTCCAATTTCAAGATCTCCATTTTCAGCACAGTGCACTCTGAACTGCAGTAGTCGTCTCTCTGTTGGAAACTGCAACAGACATTTCTTGAGCGTGTTAGCATTTTTGATATCCGCCCTATTCGAAATTTGCTTTTTAGGTTGATTGTCATTTTACCAACTTTTTTAAAATTTTATTTCATAAAAAAATTTTGTCTTTTTTTCTCGTTAAGTAAGTTTCCATCTATATTATGTTGGGCCTTATATTGCGTCCATTAATAAGCAAAAAACAATTGTGTACATGTGTGTGTAATGAAGGGGATGAGACTTCACTAACTTTTATCAGCTTTTAAGTCTTTTTTTGCAACTTACCGTTTTTCCCGTATGTTTTCGTTTTTTCTTCCGGTTTAATAATTTAAGGCCTATTTTATATCGGCTTATTGGCCTCATATGTTGTCGTTTTTTTGGGTGAAAATATTTTTGTCCGTGTGTGTATTGAAAGGGATGAAGCGTAACAAATTTTAATTCGTTTTTAAGTGTTTTTAAGTTTCATTTTTTTGCTTCTCTTTTACCCGGGTTGACAAGTTTCGACCTATTTTAAATCGGCTTATTGGCCTCATAATTTGTCATTTGATGAGCTTAAAAAAGTTTTTGTATGCTTATGTGTTTTGAGCGTATGGGGTGATAAAAACTTTTTTTAGTTTCTGAGTCTTCTTTTTTTTCCGGCTAAAAGGGTTTTCTCTCAGGTATTTTCGGCTTGCTCACAGCTTGGTATGTTTTTTTTCTGCGGCAAAGAACCTGTGCAGCAACTAAAATCGAGAAATCAGTCACACTTGAAACCAAACCAGGCCGCTTTCAACGGAAGATTGAAAAAAGTTTCAAATCAGTGACGATGACCGGCCTGCTAGCTTTCATGATGCGAAAGAAGGAAGTCATAGATAAACTAATATTTGATCACACTCAACTTGGATCAGACAAAGTACAATTCTCAGTTGAAGTGTGCTAGATGAAACACGTCACTGCTGAACAGGAGGAGACGAAACTTGAGAAAATCAAGTTGTATTGAACACTGAAATGGTGCGAGTCGACAGCGGTGGCTTGGAAAAACAAAAATACAACGAATTGATTGAGCACTTTCTCAATACAGCCAAGTGCTTTGCTTCACGCGGTAGTGGATGGTTGTTTGAAAAATTTTTCAAATTAACCATCATTTTTGCTAAACTGTCACCAAACCGCGCTGGAAGCTTCTACCTCTACCAAATGATCTGAAAAAAAAAAAAAAAAAAAAAACTGACACACTTCAAGAAGACGAAAAAGAAACAGATGAGGGTGCTAATTCATCTGCTGCCAGAAAAAGTAGTAATGATCAGCAAAATTTAGAAGAAAGAGATGACGCTGTTCATGAACAGCAGCTGAGGGAGTGAGCTTACCAAAATGAAAAAGCAAAGAAGAACAAGAAGGATTTAGTCACAAGATCCAAGGAGAGTTTGAGATGCCAATGAGCATTCTTGACATCGACATGGACAAGGTCCAAATCAACGTATTTCGATAAGTTTGATTTCCTAATAATCAAATTAAAATCTCAACAAAAAAAATCTCAACACTAACAATTTAAAAATTTGTTGCTAAATTATGCGCACATCAACTTTTTTTTCGGCTTAGATATTTTTCAGATGAACTGATACCAATTTGAATTTCTAGACAATTGCCATGTACATTTGCGATTCACCTACGTATCTCGGATAGATCTACCTAACACTATGTGCTCATCAATGACCTTGCAACGTTGGTGAATTTCATTTGAAAAAAAGCTCCTCGGACAGAATTAAGATTTGCTTAAATTGCTGTTAAACTTGCTCCTTTTCGGATACCGTGCAACGACATCAAGATATTTGTTGTCAACAAGATGGGATGGAAATCACCATGCCCAGTCCTAAAAATGATCGACATATTTCGGCATATTTTTTTCAAAACATTTGTGAACCCTTGTTTGTGCCACGTGTGATTTACTTTCACCTGGAGTCCTTGATTGTACCTGTTGATGGTGCCGAGCCTGACCCAGAAAAATCCAGTACAACAATTATTGAGAAACATGAAAAATGTGATTATGGCCTTGCTGTTGTTGAATTCGAAAAAAAACATGGTGAAGTTCGAGCAACAACGAGGGCCCGATAGCATGAAAAAATAGCTAGTCAGCCTGGAAACTTTTTCGAAATAAACCTATATCGAAAAAAGGAGAGACTATGTTTACACCGGGCAACAACACAAATTTATTTCGTCGTCCTTATCAAACCTTGTGAAACTTTTATCGAAAAAGGGATGTTCATCAAAAAATTGAACTCTTGAAACAGGTCAAAAAATTGAATTCTACCTCTGTAGCTAGCTGAATAACTTTGACAAGTTCAGCGAGTCACGGTTGCCTGCCCGAAGATTATGGAAAAATAATCGCACCGGTGGGGAAGATAGCATCAGGGAAAACGAGTATAATCATGCCAAGAGGGTTTATTGTGAGTTCCATTGGCTTTCGTTAGGCGATTACCACGATCTGTATCTTACTACAGACGTTCTCCTACTAGCTTCGGTTTTGAAGAATTGTGCGGTTGGTTTACTACATACGGGGTCGACTGCGCACACTACTACACTGCATGCAATCTGGCCGGTGACGTGTTCTTGAAAGTATGTAGGGCAGACAGTCGACTGCTCACTGAGCGAGACCACCTCGAGTTTGTGGAAGATTTGATAGGTTGTGGATTGATGAATTATCCACCAGTGCCCTCCAAAAAAGTAGGCGAACTGGCAGACGCGAGTACTGATCAAATTGAATGCTTGGAAAAATGGGTATCACCTGTTTGTCAAAAGTACCCAAGTTGACTCAGTCACTACACGCGAAAGGTCATAAGCTAAGCTACATTACCTGACTCTCTAAAATAATCTACATTACCTGACACCCAGTTGAGAATTGCTGCAAAGGATGCATGTGATGAGAATTTCTATAAACTCATTCTTAACTCTGCTTTTGATTAACTGATGTAGTCAAAGCGAAACCATAAAAAGCTCAGAAAATGAATAAAAGTTTCAAATAGTTGATGAAGAGTTTGCCCTTTGTAACCTTCTAATCAAGCTGTCCGTTGGGATTATAGCCGACAAAAGTGAGGTTAATAATGTTCGACCTTGCCAAGAAGTTCATGTTTGAATTCCACTATCTGCAAATGAAACCGAACTTGAATCTGGAATTCATATACTCAGACTCTGACAGTTTCATATATATATATATGGTAAAATCCGAGGATTTATGCGAAAATTTGAAAGATTTGGGAAATCACTTCGACTTTAGTAACTACCCCAAAGACTCGCCAATGTATAGTGACCAGAACAAGAAAACAGTTCTAAAATTCAAAGACGATTTGGCAGGGAAAATAATCGAGGAGAAGTTATTTTCACTCTGATTAAAAGTAAGTTTCAATCGTCCCTTATTAAATTGTTCGACATGAAAAACAGGATAAAATGATTTAGTTTAAGTTTTTTGAGCAGAGTTTTTCTTCCTGAAACTTGGTCATAGCATAAATTATTTTATGTTAAGATCAATTTACCGAAAGAGTTCTGATGTTTCAGTAATTATTCGTCTTCAACATTATTTTATTAGATCAGTTTGCCAATAAAGTTCTGGTGCTTAGGCAATTGCAGTCTCATATCTTGTCGTTTTGTAAATTAATCAACCTGTTTTAGATGGTTTTCAAAAAAGTCAGCTAAAGGAATCACTTGGACGGCTCAAAAAAGTCTTACATGACAGGTTCAAGTAGTCTATTCGTTCACGGCACTTTTAGAGTGAAAAATATCAGTATCCATTCGAGCTATATCAGTATCCAGCTATAACCTCGTTGGATACCAAACGATTCCTTTTAAGCGACCTTGTTAGCACAATACCCTTCGGGCATTTTTTGACTACCGAAGATGAGTGTAACACAAATTTTTTGAGGAAGAAAATTCGGAAGGTAGTTTGCAAGAGGACCAAAATTGCGAGGAACCTGATTCAGTTAGTATGGTAATGCAGTTGTGTTGCAGTTCGGTTTACTCTGTACCCGATCAAGGCGTTCGACACCGTCGGCACAGTAAAAGAGCTGAATTGTTATATTGCCGGCAGTTCAAGTGATGTAGAAAAACGGTATGCTCAAAACGCTTAAATTTTTTTTGAAGCACGGGAGGAAAAAAACAAAGAGAAAGGGGAGAGCGATAAGAGTGGGTCAGAAAGCGGTGAAGAAATTAACAATGCACCAATAATTGCTACAAAGAAAGCCCGCAGAATACAAAATGAAAGTGATCTCGACGATTAATTACCAACAGAGTTTTCATATTCAAATTTAATACGTTTGTTCACTTTACTTTTAATCTTGGTTTCTATTGTATACCGCGCTGAACTTGACTTCAATAAATACCAATCTGTTTTTTTTTCATTTGACTAAATATCCCCTTAAGTTTCAATAAACAAACTCAACGGAATATTTATATTCAGTCAACCAACGTTATCCCCAGGATCGAAACAGACTTTAGTAAAGAAGTTACTACCTTACGGACCACTTCGGTGTTGGTTGAAAAGGTTGTTTGAGAAAGAAGGTGGTGGCTGAGACGATATTTGAGAGTAGGAAAAACATGAATAAAAGTATCTAAAGAACATAAAATTAAAATCCGCCGGGGAACCAGCATATTGCGGCTATGTTCGGTAAATTCATAGTT